AGAGCGCGAGGGAGTGGGGGGGGGGCGCTTTAAAAGTCGGAATCTCCCCAAAACTGTCGTTCAATATAACAATATCATCAGAGTTTTGACCTCACGTTCCCTTGACCCCTACCAGCTTTCGTTTTTCGCTCTTTTGGGCACGGAGAGTAAAAAGAAGAGAAAGAAGAGGGCTGAAAAAAAAGAAGGAATTAAAAAAAAAACCCTCACAGAAAGAAGATCCCACTCCCTTTTCCGGTATTCGCTCAGCCAAGGGCTTTCATTCACAAACTCTAGGGGTGTGCACAATTGAGGGAAAATACGCAGTTACACGCCCAGTTGAACTCTGACCCGGTGTACTGCTGCGCCCCCTGGCGCCAACAGAACGGCTTTTGATAGGAGTCCAGTCAGAATGAGCACAGCCCCCACCTGATGCGCACGTGCACGTGAAGAAGATTGTTATTATTTATTATGTGGAAGATGTTGTAGTATATATATAGGGTTCAGGTCAAGAAACCCGTATGCCACTTTTTTTTTTTCTAAAATCGGAAAGTTAGTGACGGAGAAGGCTCTGTGGTCATGGGAAAGCACACACACACACCCAAAAAAAAAAAAGGATTTTTGATGAAATGTGGCAAATTTATGGGTTTCCTGAACAGGACCGTCGATAAAACTTAAGCCCTTTTCAGAAAAAGGTTGTAATACTGTTGAAGGTAAATGTTTTCTCATGTGGAAAAGCCGCTTGAACAGGGTTTGTGATACTGGCAATTAATCGAACTTGCCAAAGACAACTATCCTTTGTCGTGGAGAAAAGTGGTCAATCTCAGATTGGTGGTTCTCTAAGACAGTGTCATTATAATACAAGATGTATAGACAAAATGAAATTGAGGGGCGGGGGGCAGAGAGAAACTGTTGTTTGTACAGGTGGTTGTCTTGGACAAGTGGCCGTTATAGCACGTTCGACGGCATTCATTGAAACGTGAGTTCAGAGAGAGCCAAAGACTGTGACTGATACTGATAGATTAAACCTAGATCACAAAAAAACCGAGCATGACGCGTCTTCAAATATGAAAAAGTTTAATAGGGGGTGCCCACATACGCGTTCGGGACGGGTCGGGTCTGGTCGGGCCTATCGGATCGGGGTTTCAGTGCACACTACACTACAGCCCCGCCGCGATTGTACTCGACGACCTGGAAGTTAAAGTAGAGAAACCTTTAACCTACAAGCGACTACACAGAGGGCGTAAACCCGGGCTACGATTGGCTGGACCTTTGACCCATGAATACATAAAAGTATGCCTACCGTAGTGTGTGTGTGTGTGTGTGTGTGTGTGTGTGTGTGTGTGTGTGTGTGTGTGTGTGTGTGTGTTCGTGAGTGCTTGCTTGCTTGCTTGCTAGCTTACTTTAGTCTACGCGTCCATCAAAGTAAGATCATTTCCAGGCCAGGCTAACGTACGAAGTTTTTGCATGGTGTAGAAGCGACTCAAAAAGATCCGCGTCCACCGACATCAGACCAGTTAAACCTATTTTTAGCCCAGTATGTTATGATTACGAGAACAACAGACTGCACTGGCGATTTATTTACCACTAAAAAAACAACTAAAGAGCAACAAATTATAATTATGGGGAAAATCGTTGGTAAGTTGGGAGGATGAGAAGAAGGAGGGGAAAAACCCCCCAAAAAAGCTGGGACTGGGATTCGAATCCACGTTCACAAAATAATATTTGCGTTCAAACGCAGACATACTGTTCACTCGACCATCAGAACTTTCATCAGAGAAGGGTAGATCTAGATTAAGCTTCTTATTTACAGCAGTGTTTCAGGAAAGGCAAAGCGACATAATAAATCGAGATGTAGATCTAGTGAACCGGCAGATAAGGTCTGGAGAAAACTAAAAATTGGCGGAAAATTGGAAGCACTAAACATTAGAGAACGTAGATCTAGACACGTCCTTAGCAAGGTCTAACATGGTCTATTTTTAGCTCTCCCGAAAACGAAATATTCTAGATCTAGATCTAGGTCAAGTGCTTTAATTTCTTTTTTTTCTGATTTTCAGCACAAATCTGCTATTGTACAACATATTATAATGAGATACAACTTTATTGACCAGCATGTAAAGTGCAATCAAGATGCAAAAATGTACTTAAAGATGTAAATGTCCTTCCAAAATGAGTCGGATCGAGGCTTTCTTAGCCCTTTAGTGTCTCTCTCAATGTATTCATGGGTCAAAATGGACACGTGACTCAGCCTTGTTGTGATTGGCTGCAAACCACCCGATCGCGCGATTCGCAGGCCAGAAAACAAACGCGTTTGTTTTTGTAGGTCACCGATCGTGTCGATCGGTTTGTGCCACGATGGCCGCTTTGCGCCCTCAATTTGGCTAGCCCTGACTACCCGATGGGCCCGACCCGACCCGACCCGACCCGATCGTGTATTTGGGCACCCCCTATAACTCCCTGCAAAACACAGGTAGATTGTGGCGTCGGTGGCCTAGTGGTTAGGCTCTCGGGCTCGCAACCGTAATATAAGGTCGTGGGCTGCTTCCACTGCATTCTTCCATCCAGGGAAGCTGAGACTCTTTCTCAGTGTTCTGTCGTCTGCTGGGGCAACAAAATAGTGTAAAGCGCATAGAACTTGCTGTCGAGCAGGGGTATGCGCTATATAAATGCTATTTATTTATAATTTATTGTTTGAATGCAAAAACGAAAGAAATTAATTGTATTTTATGCCTCCATTGGCATAATTTCGATCCTACAGGAGGCGGGCTGCTATAAGTCTTCATGTCCGACGGTGACACTCGATAAAAGAACTCACCCACTTGGGAATCGAACTCAATGTGTGAGTCAGAGAAGAGCCTAGCCCATACACTACAGACGCAGGTGATAGAAAAACACATCGATGTCCTCTAAGCCATCTACATAATTATAAGGAAGGAGGGGGCGGTATAAGACTAACTGATAAGGAATAGGCCTGGATAATTATTCCAGTTGCCTTTCTAGGGAATCATAGTGTAGGCCTGTTCCTTCATTTTAGTCTTTGCCCCTCTTTCCCCCACCCCAATTTTTTTCTCCATTCTCTCTCACCCCCACCCCCGCCTTATCTTATTTAGCTAGTTTATACAATGCTAAATGGTCTTTCTGGGATTTTTTTCCATTGACTGAATGCCTGTTGTCTCATCCATGAAAATCTTAAAACAGTAGACAAAAAAGACACAGGACAAACTACGTTGCAAGCGTTCTGGGGCTACATTAAAAACCAAAACTGATCCCACATGACACACACAAGGAGGGGTGTGGTTATATCATTGCTGGCGAATTGTTGCTTTTGATACTACCACTACTATTCAAATAGAGTAAGGCATAAGACATTCACCTCGTAACCAGGAGTTTCCCGGTTCGATTTCAGCTAAAAAACCCATGATCTCAGGTGATTTCTTCGGGGAGTTTTCCGAGCTCATGTTTATTACGTCATGCATAAGAAATAATCCCGTGGGTGGTTGACCGGTGCTCTGGTGTTGTTTGCTTCTTCTTTTCTATCAAACATCTATCGTCTTTATCCCCCCTCTTTCTTTTTCGTGTTTGTTACTCTCTTGTAACACCTTCAATCTTCGGCACTTACAGGACCTTATTGAGCTGCAAGAGCCTTAAAACTCTTACTAAAACTAAATAATAATCCCTTGATCAGGAGGCGATGACAGGGGAACGAGGGCAAAATATCATCGCGTCAGTAGGCAGAGCCGTTAGTCATCTTCCCACAACGCTTGGATGACTATATCGCATTCGGAACGGATCCGGCGACTTTTCTTGTGCATGCAGGTTTCCCTTAATAGTAGATTTGAAAAGTAGAGTATGAAAGTCGTTATGACCGATAACAAGATCATTCCATAGAGTATGAGGTTAATGCCCTTTTTCACATAATATTATAATAGTCATTTCAGAAGCGGAAACTGATCAAAAGTGTACCCTTAAATACGATCTTGATAATTTCAACAGTAAAAAAATATATTACAATTTTTAAATGAACACATTAGAGTTTCTCTAAAGGCATTTCTCAAAATGCAGGTATTGTGGATTTTTTAAAAATAATAATAAACTGGACGACGATAAGCCAAACACTTAATAACTGTCATATGAAACTGGCTGATGAAACCACTGAAGTAAAGAAAGCTGGCCTACCAGGTATCCGGCGAAACGTAAGCTAGACGCTCAGATAGTATAACAGCGCGTATGTCTTCTGAGACTTTCTGTAAAAATCCCACGCTGGCCAGGTCACTCGTCTTGCTTAATTATTCGCTGGCTCTCAATGACCGGGAAGTTGACAAAGTGCGTCGACATATAGCTTGTCCGTGTAAAAAGAAGCCAGTGTGCTGGTTGTAACCGAGCCCTATTGCAGGCGTACAAAAACATGAGAGACAGATCTCCGACCTTGGGTTGTTGACGTCATAATATCCTAGTCACTTTCGGGAGCATTTTATCCTCACTGTACAGTAAGAAGGATCGTGTTGTTATGAAGCAGAGCACGCGTGCATATCAAAGGCTGAATTCATTTTGAGGATTGTTAAAGTTTTAGTAGGAGTTTTACGGCACTTGTAATTTAGGTCATATAAGTGCCAAAGATAAGAGGTGTTACAAGAGAGTATCGGACACAAAAAATAGAAAAAGGAGAGATAAGGACGATAGATTTTTGACAGTAAAGAAGGAGCAGGTAGAGTTTGAGTTTGAATAAAGACAAACATACTGACTACAACGGCTGTTTAGAGCCAAGAAAAAAACCCACCCAAATAAAGAAGCAGTACGTACCGACCACTTGCGCCTCCAACCACCCCAACCAGGTCAAGTAAGGGACACAGACACCTCTGCCCGAAGTTCCCAGGAAAGAGGATTGCTGGGTGTTGGCGTGGAATTGAGAGGTTCAATTAACGCACTTTTCAAAGGAGAAAAGTTAAGTTTATAATAAGCGTGGGTTTGAAAACGGTACAAAATATCTTTTTGACTTCGCTACTCAAATACCCAGGCATACTCACGTTAACTTTTACCCGGATCAGTCAGTGGCTCGCAAAACAGCATAAGCACAGGTCCCAGTCGTTGCTTTGACCATCTAGACGTCCCTCTGTCTGTTCAGACCAGTCTAGATAACTGTGACCGAGATGTCTCCGGGTACGTAGGATACAAGGGGAGGGTTCTCAGAGCACGTCAGGTCAGTGAGGAGGAACAAAGGGCACCGCTTGCTGGTAACCTTTCATGGCACGACACGACACTGTCTCGGCTCAGATCTCCGTCATATCTGCAGAAAAAGATCATTCTGTTTGCTTTTTTTGTTGTAGTTGTTTTGTTTGGGAGTGCTTTTTGCTTTTGTTCTTTAAAAAAACAAACAATTAATTCGTGAAGTTCCTGTGGCTGAGAGGTTAGTGAGCTCAGGTGTACAACAAAGTCAATCGTGAGTTGGTGACACAGCGTGCAGGTGGGTGGTCACAAGGGTATGTCCATGAGCATCAGCCCTTTTAGCCATTCGTTATTCTCTTCTTTAATAAAATAGAATTAAAGATTAAAATGAAATGTATATGCATCATACTCTTTCGCCTCACAGAGGATAACATTATAATCAGTGATACACAAGGGTTATTGAGACTGGCTCAACTTTGACAAATATCCATGTTTAGATCTACCAGCTGCCAAACTTCCTATTCTCCAGCGAGTACTGAAAAAATTACTCTGCTACAAAGCAGGCCCATCGCTCCTTTCTGCATAGTAAAATTCATTTAGGAAACGTGTCTTGCTATTTAATGTGTATTCCCTGTTGAAACCGTGTCCAGTCAGCAGACAGATTGTCAAACTATCTAAATCTAATGTAACCAAAGTTCTCAGACACCCCCCCCCCTTCCAAACCCATCCATGGGGATTAAAACAAAAGTCCCCCATACTGAAGCCCAGCACGATGACACGGGACAGCAAGGCCTTTTTGAAATATGTAAGTGGGTTCACCTTGCCGTTGTTGTCTTAGTAAGGATTTTACACCACTTGCAACCAGTCCCGGTTCCTAAATAGAACACGGTCGTGCAGTGCCGCCCAAAATATTATGTTTTATTACGTAAAGCACCCACAATAATAAAATATAAGAAGCCAGAAACAAACACTAGCCAAATGTTATATCCATTTCTGTGTCTATAGCGCAGTAAAACATCTATTATGCCATGCCAAAGTCCACGCGCTTTAACTAAACATAATAGGATATTGAACAGTGGTAACCTGACCTATAAATCGCTCTTTGGGATAACCCAAGCGATGACGACACTCGTAGCGAGTGCATTAATATTAATAAGAAGGCATATCCAAATGTGCTCCTTTCGAATAGTGCCGAAACATATCCCACAGAAGGAAGTCTAAAAATAAACGCAATTGACAGTACACTGTTCTATGCCAAAATTATGTGAGCCCCGGAGCAATCCAGCCGAGTGCTCAAGTGAATTGTGATTGGTTCTTTTTCTTGCCACTATTTTAAGTGACTCTTTGACCGCGAACCTGAGGGAGGTGAACGTGGCATACTTAAGTCACCGTTCTATGAGTTGTGCCTTTGAATGGTTTTGTAGATGTTATTACTTGAGTGTTCAGTTCCAATGCAGGATGAACGAAACTGATGTTTAGCAAACAAACAAATGTAGTTCTAGAAATCAAAGTGACAAGTAAAAAGAACGAAAACCAAGGTCCTCCCTCACCAACAAAAAGATTCTAAAAGTATACACGATCTCATTTACTACGCCCTTGACTATCCTCAGCCTGCGATAGCTTAATTGTGAACCCCCACCTTTTTGCCCCACGAGCCGCCCCTGCTTGCAACCTAAATATTATGTCATATGCGTGCCAAAGATTTAACGCGTTACTAGAGAGTGACATACAAAGAAAAGAAAGCGAGATGAGGGCAATAGATGTTTGCTGCATGTAGAAAAGAAGGAGCAAACCATATCAGAGCACCCACCATCCACCTACCCATCTAGTCTAGCGCAATCTAACAAGATTCTCCATTCTACAAATGAATATCGTATAAAAGATGCTTACACATAACCCTTAGTATTTTCACCGCCAAGGACGACGATATATGAACGACGCATTACGAAAAACAGGTCAGATTACAAAAGCAACGACATTTTATTCTTATTTCGCAAAAGGAACGACAGTGAGTTATTCTTATTTCGTTACCGTACGCTGAAGAATGTGCGACAAGGCTTAGTAGCCACAAGCCAACAGGTGACAGCCGGCGTTAGGTTATGGGTGGAGCTGTGTACAGCAATCTTGGTTGAACTTAAAACAAGCTAGAACCGACGATCACAAAGCTCAAAGATGGTAGTTTGCGTCTTTGTTTGGCTACTCGGTTGGAAACTTGCTTGAAAATAAGCATCATCGCAGGCGAGGCAATGCCAAAGCTGCTCCTCCCTCCTCTCCAGGATCCACGAAAGTGTTGGCTTGCTTGCTACTTTGATTTTTCTTACAACAAGGATGATTCCTTGTTCAACACATTTTATGGGTAGTTCGACAGGACACCACAAGGTCAGCCATCCTTTAAATGTGAGTAAAGTTCTCATGATGTATTTACAAATGTAATAATCGAGAAAAAAAGACATTGCCGCGTGACAATGTAGCCATTGGAACCATACGGGTAAAAATGACGCCATTTCGAAGGAGCACAACTTGACATTCTGTATTAAGACAGACAGACAGACAGACAGACAGACAGACAGACAGACAGACAGACAGACAGACAGACAGACAAAAAGACAGACAAAAAGACAGACAGACAAAACACAGGCAGACAGACAGACACACAGAGAGTTGAAAAAAGAAAAAATGTGATATGTTAATGTCCGTCGTCATGGTCAACTGCTGGTTTACAATAACATGGCATACGGGACACCAAAAAAACAACATGGTATGATAACAAATATGACTGTAGTATCATATCACCTTTTGTTCAAAGAACAGGTTCATACACTGCCCTTGACTTACATTTACATACTAAACACACAAGGGTATGCATAACAAATATACAGTAAGTCTGACAAACACACAAACACACACACACACACACACACACACACACACACACACACACACACACACA